TATTCTTACCTAGTTTTATTTATTTTTACAAAATGAGATTATTTTTAATAAGTATTGATACTTATTGATAATTAAAAAGTGAATACGATAATGTTTCACGATTTTTAGAATTAAAATTGTAATTAATTTATTTAATATTAAATTAACTACGTGTAATTATAATGATCGATTTAGTAAGCATTATAACAACAGGAGGTGTCATTCTTTTTTACAAAGTAAGACGATTATTGAATAAGTATAGGCTCTTTGCTAAATAAAAGAAGATGTTTTGGGAAAAGTGATTGATGGATGTTTGCAATAAAAAACTTAAATACAATTAGGATCAATGAAGGTTTAATGGATAGTTTTGAATGAATTAGGATTGATATTTATCGTTTCTTATTAAGAAATCTTTTTCATCCAATATATCGATGTATTATTGAAAATGTTGTAAAGTTAATTCAAACAAATATATAATCCAGCAATAAAATAGAAAGGAATTTATAAGTAAATATATATTAAAAACAATAGATCAATACCAGATTTTGATGCTGGTTTTGAGGAAGTAATGAAAATGTGGTAATTGTATTGTGATAAGAGAAGTGAAAAAGAAAAAGAAGGAACAACAAAAACATATGAATAATAAGAATAATTTTAAACATTTGAACCAAAAGTTGAAACAGGTAATACGCCAACTGATGATTAAAATGAATTACCATAAAAATTGAGCAAATCTGAAATAATTAAAATGAAGATGTAATAAAAATAAGGAACACGATCTCCAAAAGATGGAGCTAAATCTCCTTAAGATGGAGCAAAATCACCTGTTGATAGTAGATCACCAAAATAATCAGTTATTATGAATACAAATATAACTAAGAAATAGATTGAATCTTTGGATTTTACAAATAAAGCATAAAGTTAAGCCTAAGTTAATTCTAATGATAAATATATGACTTAAGAATAAGAAGAGGATTTATTAAAATAATTTGTAGGAGATGATGATCCTTTATTTGGTTCAGATGATGAAAATCCTAAACAATAAAAAAAACAAGGATTATTTTCAAAATTGACAGGAAAGATTTAGAATCTTACAGGAAATAAATAATTAACTGAAGAAGATTTACAACCAGTTTTAGATGATTTTAAAAATGCTTTAATGTAAAAAAATGTAGCAGAAGAAATAGCATAAAAACTAGTTGATTCAATTAAAACTAATTTGTTAGCTACAAAAACAAAGGCATTTTAATCAATAAGAACTTCAGTCTAAGAAGCTATGAAATCAACTTTAACTAGAATTTTGACTCCAAATAGGCACATTGATGTAATAGCAGAAGCTTTAAGAGCAAAGGAGAAGCAAAAACCTTATGTAATAGTGATTATAGGAGTTAATGGTGTAGGAAAATCAACTACTCTTGCAAAATTAGGATATCTATTTAAAAGTTAAGGATTCTCATTGTTAATTGCAGCATGTGATAATTTTAGGGCTGGAGCTGTAGAATAATTAAAAACTCATGGATAATGTCTAGGAATTCCAGTTTATGATAGAGGTTATAAAGATGATCCTCCTGAAATTGCTTATTAAGCAATTAGAGAAGCAACAATAAAGAAAATTGATGTTGTTTTAGTTGATACAGCTGGAAGAATGCAACATAATGAACCATTAATGAGAGCATTATCAAGAATAGTCACTATGAATAATCCTGATCTTGTATTATTTGTAGGAGAAGCATTAGTTGGTAATGATGGAGTAGATTAATTGGTCAATTTTAATAAGGCTTTGATTGTAAATAGTCCAAAGGATAATATTAGAGAAATTGATGCCATCATCTTGAGTAAGTTCGATACTGTTGATGAAAAAGGTATATGATATATCTTATGTTTTTTAGTTGGTGCAGCTTTATCTTTAACATCTGCCACAGGTAAACCAATTCTTTTTGTTGGAGTTGGATAAAAATACACACATTTGAAAAAATTAAATGTGAATACCGTTGTGAGAGCACTATTGCAATGAAAAACTATAAACAATTATATCAGTATATAATAACAAAATTTGAATTCCAAAAAGTATTTAATAATTTTAACGGAATCAAATGGCTTTAGATGAAACTTGGGTGTTGTCTTGTGCATTCTTTTCTATTCTAGGACTTCTAGGATATTCAATGATAGCTGCAGGAGCAGTTAGATATAAATCAGTGCAATCTGCCATTATTACTATTTTACTAGGTGGCATCTTAACAATTATAGCATTCTTTATTGTAAGATTAAAGAATATTTAATTAGACTGGTTATGCATTCGCATTTGGATTAGATTCAAATAAATTCATTGGTAAATCATTATTTGCAGCTGCATCATTTGAATCAACACCAAACAAAAATGATTATGATAACTTTGTTTTCCACACTATTGCTGCCATTTTTGTTACTTCAATCTTTGCTTTTGGAACTTTAGAGAGGGCAAGATTTTTTTCATTTAGTTTTGCTGTAATTATTTTATAAGGACTTCTTTATCCAATTGTTGTTCATTGGACTTTTGGTTAAGGTTGGTTAAATTTATTTGGATTCTAAGATTTTGGAGGAAGCGCAGTAATTCATGTTTTTGGAGGTGTTACAGCTTTAGTAGCATCATTATTATTAAAAGAACGCAGAGATTAAAATGGAAAAATTCACCCAGGAATATTCCCTCATCATGCTCCATTCTTCATAGGAATTGGCACAATTTTATTAGTTGTTGTTTAAACAATTTTCCTGTCTGGTTTGAATAAAACTTCAAGAGCCTATGTAAAGGGATTAGTTCCTGTAAATACATTTTTAGCAGCTTCATTTGGAGGGTTGAGTAGTTATGTCTCATACTATTTGAAAAAAGAAAAGACAAGTTTGATAACAATTGCAAGAGGAGCTCTTGCAGGTGTTGTAGCAGTTAGTGCAAATGCGAATGATATTTAATTATGGTCTGCAGCGTTTATTGGAACCTTAGCTGGAATCTCATACTTAGTGATCTAATTGATAGTTAAAAGATCTCATGTTGATGATCCAGGATAAGCAGTAGGTGCTCATCTTGTACCAGGAATATTAGGAACTTTACTTTATGGAATCTTATCAAGATCTCATGGATTATTTTATGGTTAAGGACTTAAATAATTTGGTATCTAAATTGTTGGACTACTCTCTATTGCTGGATGGGCTTTACTTATTCTAGCAATCCTAGTTCCACTCAAAGGCTTTGGAATCTTCAAGATTAAACCTGAATAAGAATCCTTAGGAATTGATTAAAGCTATGGTATCTAAATTTTATTTATTTTTAGCTGGCGGAGAAGCATATGTTTTCAGTGATTAAACTGTTGAAACCAAATCCTTATTGAATTCACAAAAGAAATCTATATTCCATTGATATATATAATTATATTATTAACATAAGATACATTCATTTTAAAATTATATTCCATATTCCAAAATCATTTTTGCCTTCAACACTAAGAAACAAATTGTATTTATCTAATTCTAAACACTTTAATAATCTTATTTCAGAAGGTGGGAATCTAAGTCTATTTTCAATCTAAATTAGTCTAAACTTATTTTTACATCTAAATTTTTATTTAGAATAAGAAAATAATCGTAAACTGTACTGTGCATAAAAATTAAGAATCTTTAATTAATTTAGATGCAATCGATAAATTCAATTTCTTTTTCTTCCTTTTCAAATAGAATCAGTCTTAAGTGCTTTTTTATGTTCTAACATTTAAAGTTATACTTACTATTTTTTGAGGTTCAAATGTTTTATCATTATTTTTGATTTTGATCATATCTAAAATTGTGATTACTCCTTAATTACTTAATATGAGAACTCTATTATTGTTGATGACCTTTGATTTAACAATAAAATCTTTTCCTTAAACTTATTATTTAATTAAATTAGTCTTATGATATATAGAATAACTTGATTTGGATGTAATAATTAATAAGTCGCTACAAAATTCAATAGATTTAATGATTTATTATTTAAGTTCTATTTTATACATCTCCTACATTTCACCTTCATATATTTTAGAACTATCAAATGAGAATTTCCACACTTTGATTGTGTCTAGAGTTTAGGATGCAAATTCTAATTCATTGCTAAATTTAGAATATTCTATTCTAGTTCTAATATAATTTTCGTTGATAAACTTCAATTTCTCTATTGGTTGATTATGAAGATCTCTAAACTCAGTTAATAATTCTATATCTTTAACATCTTAAAAAAGAAATAATTTCACAATATATCCTAAATCAACATATTTCTCATTGATAATTTTAATATTTCTACCTACTGTCATAAACATTCCTGGAGTTTAACAAACTTCTACATCTCTCAATTCTTGATGTGGTTTTATTTAATGTTGATTCACTATAGAAATATCATTTGCTTCAATTTAAATAGTAAATAGATTTAAGGTTCCATCTCTTCCAGAAGTCATACAAATATTTCCTTAAATACTAATAACATCAACAAGATTTTAATGAATTGAATTTACAACCATAATTCGTTTTAGATCTTAACCTCCATTATCTATTTAAGCTTTTTGTGGAATTATTTAGGAAATCGTTTACAAATTGGAATCACTTCTTGCAGTATGATGCATAAAGTCTAAAGATTTTAATAATTCTAATTTTCTCTATTTAGGAATTCTAGCTGTCTTTAGTTTAAATATATTCTAATATTCACTTTCATTTTGTAGCGGTGGTGGTAAAGATGAATTATGCTTTCTAGAAACATAATTTGGTTACTCAACTTTTAATTAAAGGTTTTGATCAATCATCATATCTTTAATTTTAAATTATTTAGTCATCATATTTGTCTTATTTGAAGTAAAATGTTCATTCTTAACCTAAGCCTTTACCTTTTCCATTTACTGCACAAATTATTTTGAATAGCTCTCTACTTAATTACTTAATGGTTCCAGAATTTATTTCAAATGAGTTTGAAATAATTCTACCAAACCTTGAATCTAAATTTAAATCTAAATAACTTACCTTCTTTTCATAATAATCTTTTTCTAATTATCCTGTATGTAATCTATATAATAAATTATTTCCATCTTTCGTTGATATTTTCTACTCAAATGCTTATAAAACAGCTTTAACAATTATATGACTGCATTCTCGATTGCTAACATTTTACAGTTTCATACTTCAAAACAACTGAAGAAAAACTCTCATCTATTATTTAGTTTACGAAATCTATAATCATTTTTTTGCCTTATTTGACTCCATCAACCAATTGATTTATATATTTTTAAATTTAATCTTCTAGCATCTTCACATACTAGGCTTACATTTCTTACTTTATATTCTAAGTGTTTTCAACATATATCTTAGTTTTTGTATTTAAATCAGCCCCATATAATACTACTTCTGGACTTGGATTGTATAATTAATATATATACTAGCCTCCTTTTAAAAACTATTCTGCTAAATTTATAAACTGCTATAGATCAACTAATCTATGACCTGCATGATCATTGCTAGATTTTAAGCATTCATCACAAAGAAGTTTGGACGAACATTAATTTTCACAACACACTTATTTTATGAAACGTAAATGAAAGTCACAAATTTATTACATAAAATTAAATCCTTATTCAATAGCAATACTAACAAAGAATTAAGAACTTAATTCAATAATTTTTTAGTAACTTTTTAAGGAATAAGATTCTTAATACATTCATTTTTATTATTCTTCAAAAGAAAAATCTTAAACTTGTAGAGAAATTCATCAATTCGAGTTTTTAATTCTAGAAATAAAAAATTGAATATAAACACAAAAATACTAAGAAAAATGCGAAATATGCATTCAATTATTAGTCACTATGATAATTGCATCGAACTAAGGATAATTCCTTTCACAAAATAAAATGATTTATGATTTATATCTTGGATACTTAAATGAAAGTATTCTTACAAATTCTTTTCAATAGATTCTGAAAACCTGTTGTATATATATTTTTTTTTGGTTTTCTTGTTTTTTAGAGTTAAATATATTTCTGTAAAATTGATTATGATATTATCATTTTCACACTCTCATAAGTTTTTTGCAATGTCAGCTGGGGCATTGGCTTTAACAACTTAAACATATTCAGCTTTGGCTTATTCTTTGGACTTTCCAGTATTGGCATTCCAAGCTTCCCATTTTGCTTTGCCCTTTTAATCGAACATTCCTGGTTTGGCTAAAGAGGGATAAGATAAATTATTACGAATATTAATATCACCAACTGTTGCTTACTTGTATAATCCATAGATCTATAATTTAGTTTGATCATTCAATTTATCAACGAATGATTTAACTTCTTCTGCTGCTAATTCAAACTATAAAAATATTTAGAAAGTATCTATACATTCTCTGCCATTTGGATTAAATAATATATAAAAGATTTATTATTTATACACTTATGAATATGAATAATTAATGATTTTATCCAAAATTCTTGAATAAATTGTTACATAAACATAGATCAATTTTCAATTGCAATAGAGCTGCGTATTAATAATCCTATAAGTCTAGTGTTTTGATCATTGATCATCATCTAAAAGTCATTGTCAACAAGATGATCACCATTTAACAATTTATCTCTATAGTATTTGAGATATTGATGATCTTCATTTGTTACTTTAATATCTGATGACCTGAGATAATTTAAGAAATCCATAAATGATTTTAATTAATTGTTGTGTAACTCAATTTTGTACTTAAGTTTTCTAACCCATTTAAATCGAAGTTATTGTAATTATTTTTTTGTTGGTTAGATACTATCTGGTTTTTCACTATAAACCGAAAGTTTCTAATAAAATAAGCGATTATTTTACAGCTGCCATACTTCTTTCTCTAGTTTCTTCTGTTTTGTATATAATTTCGTTAACTTTGGCTCTCTTTATATCTAAATGATTAAAAATAAACTTACTTCTTATTTCATTGTTCTATTCAATAGTTTACTTGAGTGAGGATGACCTATCTCTAACAGTTGCACTATCTGTTATATTAAATAATTGAGATTTTATGGAATGACTTGAATTGTTCTCGTTCCTACAAGTTTTGATTTAAGTATTTTATTTGATTTAAACAAGAGTAGAATTTTGAGCATATTAATCTCTTGTTGTATCAATGGCACTCAAAAAAGTCTCAACTTTATTCAATGATGCTTTGATGCTTTCATGTTTGAGATGAGATCTCTTTATGATGTTATTAAAGGTTTTTCTAAAGAGATATTACTATCATAGGTATTATTTAATAATACTTCTACTTAAGGTAGTTCGTTATCCTTCTTTTTTTGAGGTTCATCTTGTAGAATGCGTGAACGGTTCAAAAATTTTTATTACAATTTTACTTAGTTTAACCTAGCGAATGATTATTGATCATTACTCCTTGCTCTAAACTTTTACATAATCAATTATCTTGCCTCCATCCAAAGATTAGTTTTTATGTTGTTATAATAACTTATTTTATTAGAGATTTAAGTCATGTGATTCTCTTCGTTAACCTTATTGATGAATTAAAGCTTCTAAATCTGTTAATTTTTTTTGCTTTAGTTTTCTCAATTTGAGTACTGGTTCATCATTGAAAAAGAGAGCTAAGAAATCAATAGAAATTTATACGATCATTTGAGATATCAATTTTCTTTCTTTATATTAATTACATTGATATGGATTAACCAATAGGAATTGGAGGATTTAAATTACAACAAGTCATTTCATAGGAAATGAATCAAATGAGACATAGTCTTGATCCTAGAACTTCTTTATAAATGATGTTGAGCCAAAGATCTTAAGCCTAATTTCAATAAGTTATGGATTAAGATGTTCCTAATGAATAACCATTAAAATTATTGAGTAAGAAAAAAGTAAATCCATATACCTATTTGTAATCTAGGATAAAAGATTTTAATTATAGGTCTCCTCAGCATCTAGTTCTTTTTCTATTTCATCTGAAGAATCTTCAAATTCTCAAAAATCTATACGCTCTACTAATTATTTACTTAGATAATAAGCAGCCGCCTCATTAAAATTATTAGTCAAAGATAACAAATAATAAATAAGAATACCTACTATTCCAATTAGAAACATTTCAAATGAAAAAAAACAAATCAATTTCTTAAAAGGATTACAATAGAATTCTGAATTGAGTGAGAATAATTACATAGATGAATTTTATTAGCAAGGAAAAATTACTGTTAAATTAAAAAGCAAAGATTTTATGACTTTCATGAGATGGTAACATGAGGTTGAAGAATTAAAAAGAAAAAAAAGAGATTTTGATGAATAAAAAGACAGACATTTTTAATTGACTAAAGGTGATACCATAACTAAAATGGAATAAAAGAAAAATGAGGAAATTATGAAAAAAAAGAAAAACAGATATTCTGAATCATGGATAGTTGGAATTTCATTAGCAAAAAGATTTTTAAGAATTGGGAGAAAGAGAGCTAGAGTAGCATTATAAAGAAATGCTATTAAAACTTTAACTGGTATTTAGAGTGTTCCACATTTAAGTGATTCTAATAGATCTGATGATGTTAGATCTATGGCTAGTTTTAGAGAAATATAGAATCCCTAAATATGAATTACTGCTTTTAAATATTAATATATTATAAATGAACTTAAATAACAATTAATTACTAGGACAACCAAAAGCTTAATTTAAAATGGCACAAAGTTCTTATTAATAACCATAACAATAATAATAATAATAAGGTCTTCAAGTACCAGGATAATCAAAAGCTATTGAAGAATCCCATTGTATAAGAGTAATGAGCAAAGAAGTTAAAGCTGCAGCTAGAATGCAAGAATGGTTCAAAGGCAAAAAATAATAGAAAATTTACTAAAAGATGAAAAAAAAACATAGATATAGAAAGAATGTGATTGCTGAAATTATAAATACAGAGAGAACATATGTGAATGATTTGTCTATTATTTGTGAAAAAGTAAAGACTTCTTCTCTTCCTATTTTAACACCAAATGATATCGAAACTATATTTATGAATTGTGATTAAATCTTGGGTTGGAATAGAGAATTTTTGTAAGAAATGGAAAAAGGATATTGTAAATATAATGTTGATAAAAAATAAATGCCAAAACCCTATTAACCAGTTTTTGATGGAAATGCAAAATAATTAAAAATACCAGATGCTTTTGCATTCAAATGTTATTATGAATATTGCAGTAAATTTACAAAATCAAATAAACATTTTGAACACTTGAAAGCAACTGATCAAAAATTTAAAGAATTCTTAACATAACTAAATAAAAATGGGACATTAAGAGGAATGGACTTGGGGAGTTTCTTAGTAAAACCAATATAGAGGTTGCCAAAATATATTTTGCTTTTTAAAGTAAAAATAAAAATTGATTATAGGATCTAGAGAAGAATACAGATGAAGACTACCCTGATTTACCTAATATTAAAGAAATACATAAATATTTCAAAGAAGTAAATGAAGAAAATAACAAATTTATGGATATTTTTATGGGTAGATTATAACTTCAATAGTTAAGTGAATCTTTGAAAATTAATTAAGATGATTTATTGAATGAACCTAATAGAATTTATAAGTTTGAAGAGAAGTTAACAATAATTTAACCAAATGCTAAAAGTGATGAAGATTGTTAAGTGACAGTCCATGCTTTAAGTGATATGTTGGTGGTTGTTCATGATGAAAAAGTTTAAAAGAAACTAAAATTAGATTCCTTATCTTTTGTGAAGAATCAGTCTGACAATAACAAATACTTTAGTAATTTATTTTAAATTGTTGGTGTTGGTGATACAATATAATGTATAGCTGAAACACCTGCTGCAAAAAAGAAATATATTGATTAGTTTGAAAAATTAATTTAAGAAAATAGAGAACTTGAATATGCAAGAGAAAAAGAAATTTGTAAATAATAGATTAAAATGAGATATCCTGTGTAAGTTGTTGTTGTAGGAACTGAAGAAAGGAATTTTTAATCATTTACTAAACATACTTAATATATTACTGAAATTAGTATTAATAAAGTGTTTTAGAATGTATATTGTTAATAATATTTATTTAGATATTTATAAGATACAGTGAAATTGAAGTTATGTCTATTAAATACAAGTAAAGATATCCTAGAATTGAATTACCACAATTACCAGATAAAAACTGGTTAATGAGTCATAAAACTAAGTCTATAGAAGCAAGGAAAATTGCAATCGAAAACTTTTTGTAAGCATTACTATAAGCAAAAGAGATATAATAGGATAGTGATATTTTGAATGAGTTAAGTATTAATCAATATTTTATTTAGAATTACCAAAGAACTTTTTTGACTTACCAGATTTGTATTAATCAATATTGAAATCAAACTTAACTTAAAAATAATAAAATTTTAAAAGAACAACTCTTGAAGGAAAAGAAGAATTAAGAGAAAAAGGAATAAATGTTGAAAAACTCAAAACTAGTGCTGGTGAAATATTAAAAGCAGTTTATATTGAATAGGAAACTAGAAAAAAAAGTGTTGTTTAAATTTGTCCAAATAAAGTTATATCTTATGATAATTCAAAAGATCCTAGCTTACATAAGATTATAATTACATTTCCAGATGGTACTGAAACTGCACTTGGTGTAACTGAATAAACAAGAGTCAGAGAAATTTTAGAATATGTTGCTAAATATAATCATCTCATTTATTACAAGGACTTTAGATTATATTTAATTGATCAATTAAAAAAATAGAGAGTTCTTGATGATGATGAAGTACTTTATAAGGTGATTGAAGATGAAAGACAAAATAATCATGGAATTTTAAATAAATTAGAATAAATGCTAGCCAAATCAAATGCTGAGTATGAAATCATTCTTAACAAATAGAGTTCTAATTAAGATGAAAAAATATATATATTTACCAGCCAAATTAGAAGAGAGTGATTATAAAGAAGATCCCATAAGATTAATAAATCTTGCTTTTTCTATATTAGATGATGTTCATGATTAAAAATTACAATTAGGCTTTAAAGAATATTGTCTATTTGCAGCTCTCTATTTTCATATGAAACATTCAAGATTAGATGATAAATTATTTGGAGAAGTAAGAAGAGTAGTTCCTTAAGAAATGTTTCAAAGTAGTACAGATAAAGAATGGAAAGATCTGGTTACCTAATGTTTTAAAGCACTTGATAATGAACTTTCTTAAATTAGTGTAACATATTTAATTATTTAGAAAAAAAATGAAAATGACAAAATTTAAAAGAAACCTAATTCATAATTTAAACATACTGACAAAAAATATTTGGCTGCTGGAGTTACTTTGAATGCTGCTAGAACTTTTGTTTAGAGTTCTATGGCAATCTTTTAAGTACAAGTCTATGAAGGAACTTAAAAGTTTTTTAAAAATGCAGGACTAGAAGTCCATCCAACTATTTATTTAGGGTTATCTATTCATAAAATTCATTTCCTTAATCCTCAACGGAAAGAACAATTTAGGGAAATTGATTATGGACGTGTAAATGGAGTAAAATCCTATCCTAGTTAAATTATTTTTGATTTACAAATATTCAAAGAACCTATAAGGTTTGACACTTACTAAAGTTATGAAGTACTAATTAATTATTATATATTAGATTAAATCACTTGTTGAATAATATTAAGCTATTTAAAGATTTGATGATGAATATGAATTGGGTCATCAATTCAATATTAAACATTGAAATTATTAAAAATAAAAGAAAAATTATATGTTTAAAATTTTATTGATTACATTCATCATGATTTAAAAGTTTCAAAATAAAATTATTAAATTATGATCTCTCTATGAATATAAAATATTGTAAGATTTAGTAAGTATATAATAAGGATGACAATTTGTTAAATGTAATATAAATTTCAAACAGGAGAACTAGAGCTATCACGTTATAAACTGAATTTTGATTTTTCAGTAGCTTTTTTAGGAAATCTAAGTAAAGGAGTACTTCCAATATTTTAAGGAGTACGTCTTCCAATAATTGAGTTCATTTATAACTACATTGTAGGCTTCTTACTAATTTAAGGTGGTGTCATTGTAGTTGATTTAATTTCTTTTTCTTCCATGAAAGTAGTTAATGCTCTTTTAAATTGCCGTTTTTTCTTAAAATATCTTTCTTGCTTAGCTCTTGGATTTGTTTTCATTTTAATACCGAGTTCCTTGAGATATGAAACAATGCTTCTTTCTATATTCAAGCTTGCTGGTTATTAAGGTGAGTATTCTAATAACAATAGTCCAATAGAAACATCTGAAACTCCACTATAGCATTCATCCTCTTAATCAGAAACTTATAAATTTTAAAAATCAATATGCAGCTGTACTGGATTATCAACCATTTTTATTTATTATGAATATTAAATAATTGTTCGAACTTTAAGAATAAGATGCTGACAAATTACCAATGTTATTACAAACCTTATCGCATTCCAAGCATGAAGGTCATGTGCTTAAAGCAATAAATATAATTCAATAATTCAATCACACTTTTAATCCTGTAATCATTTTCATCTTATATTTTAGAATCAATAACTTAGTATCATAGACTTTATCAACACCATTAAAAAAGAATACGATATTGCCATTGACATCAAATTGATATCTACATTGCTTCACATTATTGATATTACTTGGATGCACAATTCTACTAAAGTATTTATTTTAAATATTCCTTAAAAAAAGCTTTTCAATTTATTTTTAACGTACACCGTATCAGATGATTCCATAATCTAATAATCTGCAATCTAAGGCATGCTCCTTATTGTATCACTTATCAAAGAAGATTAATTCTTAGAATATTTGGAAATCTTTTTCTAAATCCTTTAGGATAAATAATAAGCCTAAATAAACAGCAGTCTCAATCCTATTCTTTGTAATTGACTTTTTAATTTAGGCAAGGATATCTTTATTATTCTCCTCAAAAATGGTAGAACACTCAAAACTTCACAATTTTATACAACTAAGCTTTATAATTATTTATCATCCTTAGATATTTCCTAATAATCAAACTAATTATCAAGTATCAATTATTTATTACTTAGAAATCAATTCTGTATTATTGATATCAACTTATATTCTCTTGATGGAAGATCATATAGAATTATTAGATTAAATAATCGATTTATACATTAAATCAAAAGAAAATGACATCATTAAAATAGCAATTCATGATGGATTCCTTCTCTTATACAATAACTAATCTGTTATTTAGAAATTATTCACTTAAAATACTAAAAACACCTAAATAAGTAAATACTTAGTATTTATTTCAGGCTATCATGAACAAATATTTAAAATGATTTATTAGAATACAATTATACACATTCAAGCATATGATTTAATTCAAACTCAGAAATCAAGTATTTTGATCATGAATTTTAGTGTTAAATATTTAGAATTTGTTAATACTGTGGTATTTAATAAATATATTTAGTAATTAAGTAAATATAAATTACTATTAATAAGCTTGTTTAATTACTTATTCAATCCACTTCTTAACTAACTCAAATTATGACAAAAATTTAATTTAAATGTTTCGACCAATTTTTAAACTATTTAAGTACATTTTATAAATTTCATCCCATTAATAATGTTTAGATTTAAATGAACAATTTTATAAGTGGACTCAACAATCTAAAAATGCTTAAGAGCTGATGATAAAATTTTTATCTTAAGTTTCAGTTCCAGATTTGAATTCTATTAATATAAGAAAAGAAATCAACAATAATTGGATTATAAGTTATAATGTATTATGTGAATGTATAAGGAATTATATGAGTTCTTTTTCACCTAAAATATGGAACCAAATATTCTAGACAATGTAAAGAGTTGAAATGATAAACTTTTCATAAGAAGAGATAATGAAGTTCTTTATTAATTCATCTGATTATGATGATCAAACTTTAATAAAAATTATGGATGGCTTAAATTAACTTGCCTTGTAAATAGTTGAAAAAGTTTAAATAAATAACAATACAACTGATATTAATTAAGTTTACAAGCAATTTGCTATAGATAAAATTGTCCTCATTGTTTAATCTAATGTTTTTAGATTAGAAAAAATATGGTAGACAGTAGAAGCCCTGTTGTTGTGTTTATGCTAGTCAAAGTCATAAGAAATGAGGTAATACTCTTTAAATAGTTTGAAAAGCATCATTTGCTAGTGTTTTAATAATAAATATCTAAAAATTGATCTATTTAATGCTATGTATGAATTAATAAATTCACGATATGATGATGTAGTCGAATATATAATGAATCTGTTATATTTTTTAATAAAATAATAACAAATATCAGATACATTATATATCGATTTAATAAAAGTATTTGAGACTTTATTAAATGAAAAGGAAGAGTTTATTCATTTATTGTTATGTTTGAATTGCTTAAGCGAATTAATTTTTAATTAATTAGATTCATTAAATGACTAATGCTTGATGAGAATGGCAAGCATTTGCGTATATCTTACAAAATATTTGTCAAAATAATATTAAAATGAAATTAAACACAAAATCATATGTATGTTATGGTAATTGTAATTAAAATCTATCTAACATAAATTAAATAATCCTGGTTTGTGGAATATGTCTTTGAAATTAATTAAAGATAGGATGGAAAATTAAGATGATTTAAAATTTGCAGCTTTACATATAGCTTCATAATTATGTTTGAATTCACAAAATGAATAGTTCACTGAAATTTATGAATTATTTGAAGAGTTAATGAATAATTGTATAAATCAATACTTAAGAATAGAATTTTAATAAATTAGCCTTTTTAATAATACTCCAAGATTTAGTAATAATAATTTAATAGAAACTCCTAAATTTTAAATGTAATCAATAAAATTTGACAAGCAAACAGTTAATGAATAATACAAATAATCATTAGAGATTTTAAAATTATGTATTTCACTTTGGGCTGAAATAGTTATTTAAAAAAAAAAATATGAAAAGTTTTATTATCACATTTAATCTTTCAATTAAGCGCAACTAGTTTATATAAAACATGAAATAGTTATAGTACTATCTAAGATTCTAGAAAATTCAAGTAAGTAAATAGAAGTATCATTGGATATTCTTAATTCCTTATTGGATAATGAATAAATTGATACTCAATATTTTATTGATAATGACACTTTTTAATATATTTGCTAAATATTGAGTCAAGGATTTAAAACCTAACAATAAAAGTCATTTGCCATTAGTTCTAAGTTAATGGCTCTAGTTTGTAATGAAAATTACTTATTTGATGATTCCATTTTAAAATCCTATGTTTCATAATGTTTGCCTGGTTATGATGTAACTGAAGAAGATGCTATTAAATGGTTAAACTTTATTTCTGAATAATTTGCTTCAATAGGAGTTCAATTAAGATTTCATAAATTATTAGAAATGCTATGCACATCATATGATATTATTATTAGATAAAAGTTAACATCAAAAATGATTGAACCAACTGTAAAATTTATTCGAGCTTTGATCCTCTAATTGAATGTACAAATTATAATTATTATTAGAAATGCTAAAGATTTTTAAATGATAATTCAGAAAGATTATAGATCATTTTTATCAATAAAATAAAGCATTTGATTTCATAAATAATTTCATATTTAGATTAAGATGTTCTCAGATAAATTGTAGAACCTATTTTAATGTAAAGTAAGAAAATTTATGATTGGGTATAATATTTCTTATCACTTCAATATAATTAAGAATAGGAATTAATCATAATTGAATTAATTACAATGTTTTACATCAATTAAATAGTTACAAAGGAAAATATTTCTTAATAGACTACAATAATTAATATAATAAGTTTATTTTAAACCAATAATAATCTGAATAATAAAATTCTAGAAACCGTAAAGCCTACTTTATTATCCTCTATATATTCTAATTTAGCATAATTTATAGAGGAAACTGAAAGGAAAAATGAAGAAGTTCATAATATGGGTTTAATGCTTGATTTTTTATATTTTCAAGAATAGATTCTGCACCCTGTAATTTTGCAATTTATAAAATGTGAATATTTTGATTTGAGATTAAAGATTGTGCAATTACTCAAAAAGTTTAAACCTTAATGAATTTTTGTTTTATATTTTTTTACTCTTTTATATTTTATATTTGTTCATATAATTTAATATTTACTATTTCCAAAAATTTCAGAAAATATTTATTTATTGAATAAATAGATTCTGAAATTGAAATTGAATTCTGTTATAAGA